AGACTCCCCTAGATGTAGAGATGCCCTTAGACAGAGGTGCCCCTAGACCTAGAGGCGCCCCTAGATTCACAGGCGCCCCTAGACAAAGGGCACCTCTAGACGTAGGTGTCACCTTGACACTCGGGAATTGCTTAGTCTTGTTTAACAAAGAAAAACTGTTAAGCAAAAGGTCCTGGTGTATACTGGCAGCCACACTCTGCCCTGGTGTCCCTGCCCTCTGCTGCGAGGGAGGGAAGTCTCTTTCATTGTAGCTGCTTCTTTGTCTTCTTGTCATTGACATTGTCTTAGTCAGCATCTCCATTGCGAGGATGAGATTATAAGGAAGAGAAGTGGCAGGGGGGTTACTTCTGGGCAGTGTTTGGGCTTGGAGTGACTGGCCAGCTTGTGTGGGGGAGTGATTGATGGGCACTCTTTCCTGCTGGTGTGCTTGTTTTAACCATTGTTTGGTCTCTTGTAGGAACTGGCAGCATCTAACGAGCTTGACAAAATTTGCCCCAAAGCCCCCAAATTAGAAGAAAGGTAAGGAAGGTGCTTTGTTGTAGGTATTTTTGGAAGTTTTAAATTCCGTCCCCCTCTCCCTATTTGGGGATCATATACTGTGTTCATTGTACTTACTTTTTACAAGAAAACTCCTTCTTTCATAGGTCTGGGGTGTGTCAGCGCTTACACCTTTATTATTTGCATTTGAACTAGTTATGAAAAATGATAAACTCATGAACCAAAGCAGGTGTGATTTCAGCTTCATTTTAGAGATGGGCTCAAGGATTTCCTTTTCAGTTCACAGTGGTTCTCTTCTTGGAAGTAAGCATTGAATCTTCTCTGTTGGTTTTCTGGGTCCCTTTGTCTCAGTGTTCAGCCTGTTGTGGCCCCAGCTTTTCCTAACTTGTACCGTGTGTGTCCAGGGGCTTCTTGGTCTCCAGTAGGGCTGCCAGGAGGCAACGTTGTCTCTCTGATTTTCAGAGCTTCTATATTTTGACTGTCCAGTTGCCTTTCAAAAACCACAAACATTTAAAGTTCATAAAGAAACATGAGGTTTACTTTGTGACAGTTTTTTGTGCCTTAAACCAATGTTGTTCTGAGGCTTGAGAACATGGTAGGGAAGAGATTTGAGATTGTCGCTCTTCTCATCTCCCTACTTTAGAAACAAAATTTAATTGATTTTAAAAGGCTTCAGTCCATCAGGTGCCACATCCTTCATGACTAAGGTCAGCAATTGGGCTAACAAAGCATATTTTATTTATCTCCTGAAGTGACTTTAAAAAATTCAGATGCTTCCACGTTACTGGACACCGTGGAAGTGGGCAGGTTCCTCCCACTGAATTCGCAGTAAGTTAGGCCCAGGCTCACCCCTTCAGCTTTCAGCCGCTAATGGCAGCTTGTTGCCTCTTCACGGACAGGATGCTGAGCGTGAGCTAAGCGTCCTTAATGATCCTGGTTGTGACTGAGAACATCATGCAGTGAGTGAGGGAGGGAGTCAGGAGGGACATCGCCCGTGACTCCGCCCTGCTGGAGGAGCCGGCCCGACCCAGCCACGGGTTGTTCAGTTGCCGGGCCTGGTATCTGGTGCCGGTTCTTGCTTCTTGGCAGCGCACGCCGGGCTCTGCCCTGCTTTTTGTAATTTGCTGTTTCTAATCAAATGGAGACGGTGGAGACTGACTGATTAAGTTTGCCAGAGTAGTGTATGAAATAGGATGAGGCGAGTGCTGAGTCTGCATCCTGAAGGGGGCTTTGCTAAGTGACTCACCTGGGGAGCTCTCTTTTGAAGGCTCGGGCCCCTTTTTCCTGTTGGGTTTTTTTTGCTATATTCCTGCTAAATGACCTCAGTGTGAGTGAGGTAGTGACTGTAGTTTTTTCCCTAGCATTTGTTTGAGGAATTTAAACTTTCCCGTCAGATATCATGCAGTTAATCCTCTAAACACCATTGTTAGAACTAAAATGGGCATGTGATCTTAGTTTTTCCTTTTGCGACTTAAAAAAGTCAGCTCCCTAAATCCTGAGGGCTTCTCTGGGAGCTCACGTTGCCTCTCCATGGCTCTGACGGGATCCAGGCGGCCCTTGGGGACACCTGGCAGAGCAGGGTCACGTCACTGGTGGCAGCAGCTTCCGGCTTCTCTCTGGATGTCTCCCAGGTGGAGCAGGGCAGCTGAATGGGTGTGTGGGATTGCAGCGGCCTGGCCCCGAGCCGGTCTGGACAGACAGAGTGCTCAGTCAGGCGTGGGTCCCGAGCAGAACTGGCTGCTGATTTTTAGCACGAGGAGCCTGAGGGCTTCAATTGCCACTTTAAGGCCCATTCGTGGCTTTATAAGCAATCCTGTGCTTTATGGTGGCTTAGGGAAGGAGTGATATAAAAGCAAATATAAATGCATTTACTTGTTTAATGTGAGCTCTCGTCTCGCTGTTCCTCCAACGCACACGTTCCTGAAGAGGAACCTGAGCCGTGTTTCCTGATTGAGCTGAGCCTTTATGTTCTTCTCTCCATAGGCTCAAAGTACTGACAAATAAAGCTTCTGTGATGCTGTTTATGAAAGGAAGCAAACAGGTAAGGACTCAGAAATGGTTTGGTGGGTAATTTCTTGGCATGTTACCGTCTGCAGCAAGGGGATAGTTAGCTGTCTTTCCTCGCTTTAGCTGATGAAGCTGGGGGTGTCAGGAAGCTCTCCCTGCCTTAACTGGTGCTTCTGTAGCTCAAAGCGAGTCCTCTGCGTCCTGCTCCGCTCCATCATCGCCAGCTCCGGGAGGGCCTTTCTGCTCGATGCCAGACTTTGATCCATCACCTTGGTCACCGCACTGAACACTGTGCAGGCTCTCCAGTTGCCACATCCTTCCTGCTGAATTGCATTTTGAGATGGCTCTTAATGCTCGTGGCTTTTAGAGTAGACTCCTTGGTTTTAGTAGACAGCCCAGAGCAGCGAACCCGCCGTTTCCAGTTTGTCCCTACTTGTGATCTCTGGGCCGCTAGACCCGGTAGCCTACTGCTAGGACACCGTGGTGCTTAGCTCTGGCCACAGGAGATGGCTTTGGGAATTCATAGTTCACTGTGTGTCCAACACAGCCTTTCAAAAAAATCTGGATTTGGAAGTGTGTGACCAGTGATGTGAGTAGGAGGGAGCCTGTGGACTGCTGGTTTGAGGAATGCACGTTATCCTTTAATTATTAGAATTAGAGGGAGCTCCAAAAAGCTAGGTAAAATGATGACTTTCTGGAGTGCTATCTCTGTGCCTCATCTAATCTTCAGAGGAACCTCATGAAGTAGGCAGGGCGTGTAATGGCATCTCCGTGGTACAACGAGGACACCCGGAGTTGGGGTTGGAGTGCCTCTGTCCAGGTCCTGCAGGGCATCCAAAGTCGATCTCTGAAGAAGGTGGGGAGTCAGGGTCCTCACTAGCTGGCCTTCCCTGTCTCAGAGTTTGAGGCCTCCTGCACCACTGAGAGCAGAAGGAGAATGGAACAAGGCCAGCTGGGAATCCAAAAAAACCATCTTTTCTCATTTAAGTAAATTAGGATTTTTGATCTTAAACAGTAGGAGAGTAGCATGCATTCCACGACTTCATGTTTTTACTGAGAATTGGTTTGAATGTTGGCAAGAAAGGTTTTTAGGTAGACAGTTGCTGTTTGAAGGTGGAGCACATGCTACCAGGGTGGAGGGATGAAGAGAAGTAATGCATGAAGGTCTGAGATCTCCCTTCACCCTGAAATGCTGCCCTGGGGATAGTAACTGGGTGGAGGGAGGAAGTGTGGTGTGAATAGAAAGACTTGGGACTTGTGGGAAGGGTGAGGATGATGACCCTGCTCACTTTCAAAGCTTGACTGAAATTGTGTTTTATTTAGATGGCAAAATGTGGATTCAGCAGACAAATTCTAGAAATTCTTAATGAAACTGGGTAAGTAAATAACCCATAGAATTATGGTAGAACAGATGTCTGTCTGAAAGTGACACTGTTTCACTCCCACACTGGGTGAATATCTGGAATAGACTTTTAAAGGAAATCTTTCCCTTAAATTGTCAAATAGTGGTAGCATCGAGGAGCCTTTGGGCAGCCATGGAAACGGTCACTTGCCAACCAGCTGGGGTGAAGGATGATGCAGGTTCAGCCAGTTGCAAAAGATATTTTTGTGAAATGTGTGTTGCTGCCGTTTTATTTTTTCCATTCTGTGGGTGAGGAGTAAGTAACCTGTGCATTGATGCTTGCTTCTGGCGATCCTGAGCACACTGGGGAGAAGGATGCCAGGGCCTGAGGTGCCCAGCTTGGGCAGTGTTTTCCAGCATGTGCATCAGGCAGATTTTCCTCGTGAGAATATCGACAGACATCCTGGCAAAGGGGCAGTTTGTCTTTCCAAAAATAGGTGCTGGCCACTTTGTCCCCAGCTTGTCTTGGTCTTCCTGCAAACGAAAACCCTGCCAGCCAGCCTGCCACAGCTGGAGAATCTGAAATCTCGAAGCTCAGTGCTGTGTCCTTTGGTGCCTTCCTGGTAGTCGTTCTGGCCACTTCCTTTCTGATGTTGCTGTCTCTGCCAGGAGGTAGAATCCGTGTTGTAACTGCCGCCGCTCTGCCCTCCACCATCCCCGTGTGCTTTGGAGGTCGCTTGGCCACTCACCCAGTTAGAATCGAAGACCAGGCTCGGGCAGAACAACCCCTTTCCCGTCTGTTTTGGTTGTGCCTCCGTGCGTGAGTGCTCCTGGCTCATGGTCATGTCATTCTGGGATGACAGCTGCCTGTCGGGCAGGGAAGCACCGTCCTTTCCAAAAGAGCTGCTTTACTGTTGCAGCCACAGACTCACCCAGTGCAGCACAGCTCTTGTGTCCCAGCGGGGCTTGAAGCCCGTGTCTCCTGACTCTATGGGACACTCTGGCTCTTCCAACCCCTTTGAGTATCACAGAGGATGAACCTGGGTTTCCAGTGGAGTTTGGAGGTGACGCCGGCCTTCAAGGCTCCCCATGGAGCACAAGCTCTCAGGGTGCCGTTCTGCTGGCAGCTCTCTGCCCAGCTAAAGGAGGGTGGTTTTGGTCACAGTCATCACCAGTGAACTGTCCAGTGAGATGTGGCGGGGTTGGAACCTGCTTTGGCCTGTGCTGAGGCCTTCGTGGCTCTGATGAAGTAGTGGGCTTGGTGTGTCAGAGTTGACCTCAAGTGGATGGCGCGGATGGCTGGCTCTTCTCCGTCCCAGCTTTTACGTGCTCTTGTCTGTGGGTAGCAGAACTTTCTGGCCAGGCCACAGTGGCAGTGGGTGTGCCGGAGGGCTGGCTGCTGGGGTGTAGGGGGCTCCTCCAGTTCCATGGCCACTAGAGAAGGCTGGCTCGAGCCATGTGCAGCCTCCAGAAGGGTTGTTGGGTTTTTTGGGGGCGAGGGTAGAGGGGGGAGTTTGCATTTGTGTAAACCAGTTGTATAATTCTAGAAAACTTTCTTATTTCTCATAGTATTGATTTTGAGACGTTTGATATCTTGGAGGACGAAGAAGTAAGTCCTGCTTCTTACTTATCCTAGCTGTTCTTCATTTTATCTTCCTCGTCTAAGGGTCTGGTTTGAGAAACATTTTCCCTTTGTTTCCTTAGGTGCGGCAAGGACTAAAAGCTTACTCCAACTGGCCAACGTACCCCCAGTTGTACGTGAAGGGCGAGCTGGTTGGAGGCTTGGATATAGTTAAGGTAAGAGCACTGTTCGCCGTGGGCTCCTTAACGCACTGTTTGTCCTAACGATTCTTGGCTTTGAAGGTACACTTGAGGGATGAACATTGTTTATTTAAGCTCCTTTTATAATTTTAAACAGGATTGATGGGTCCCTACCCATTAAAAAATTCAGTGTTTTATTGATGATTTTTAAAAACACTTTCCAAAACTTGCATCCCATCATTCTCCCTCCTATACAGTCTTCTTTGTAACAAAGAAGCAAAACTGATCAGTGTTGGTTGGGGGGGGCATGGAGTGATTGTACATGGTCACGTGGCTAACACAGGTTAGATGCACCACTTGAACCTGGGGCTTTCCGACTCCGAGGCAGGCCCCCATCCACCCTGCCATCCTGCCTCCTCTGGGAATGCAGCAAATTTTAACGCGTCAGTCAGTGGAAAGTAATATTCACTGTGTAGATATTTGTTGTGTGACTTTGCTGGAGTGTCTTCATTCCCAATGCATACCTGTATTTCAGTAATTGATAGTATATTACTTATTCTCAGCATAAGCACTTTTGGAGGTCATCACCAGCTCTGTGTGTCTTTTTAAACCCAGAACTGGTTCCTTTGACGACACAGGCTGCTTTCCCCTGTAGCTACGTTTTTATGGGTTTCTTTGCTGCTCGGTTTGAGAGTTGACACTGCTCTTCTCAAAGAAGGCAGGGAGACATTTTTTTCCCTTGCAAACAGCATCATTCTTGAAAAGTGGAAGGTTTAATGTGGTGGTATTTTGAACATGCCCCGAAGCAAAAGAAATAGATCTGCATTTGTTGGCATGTTTTTTGATTTTTGTCACAGAGAAAGCCAGTCTCCTCCACCCCGGATCCTCTGGAGCCTGGTCTTGTCGGAGTGTTTGATGGTCTCTGCCTCAGCCAGGGGAGCTCCTGGGGAGATCCAATCAATGCAGTCATTTAATTCTAAAAATAAGTTGGACATCTAGTGACTTCTTTTCTGTCACCTCACAGGGATTAGCCATTTTTCCTGGTCACATGCTATTATCTAGATGTGATTTGAAAAGATTTGCAGGATTTTCTGTTAACATTTTCACTTGGTTTGGTGGGGGCTGCAATAATTCATATCTTGACATTTGGGTTTATTTCTGGCAATGAATGCATTTTCCTATTTTCAGTAAGCCCAGTGTGATTGATTTTTTTTTTTAAATTGAGGGACTCATATTTTAATTCGTCAAAAGGGAACCAGTTGTCCATTTTAAGAAAAGGAATGGGTGTATGCATTCTCTCAGGCCATGACAAGAATAGCTTGCTTAGTATGTTGAAGGTGGTGTAGCAAGGCCTCCTGAAGGGGTGTAGCTTGGGTCTGTTGGCTGGTCTGATCCCTGGGATCCTTGGCTAGCTGCTGAAGCTGGCTCATAGAGGCTGACACGCCCTTCTGTTCCCTCTCTGAGATGAGCAGGAACGTCTTTCTACCTTTGGGATCCTGTATGTGAGGCGCTCACTTATGTGGAAAGGTATTGCCTCCCTGGAGGCTTTCATTTTGGCTGAAGGAATGCCCCAAGACAGCCATCTTTGTAGGTAGCTGTCCTTTGCATACAGAAGCATGTTGTTAGACTGCTGGACAGCTAGAGCTCAGATTCTGCCTCAGGCCCTCCCCAGCTGTGAGGCCTGGACATGTCACGAAATCTCCCTGAGAGGAGTATCTGTGGTCCTTAAGGTCCCAGGGTCGCTATGATGGTCAGATGAGGTGGCCCAGGAAGAGAAGCTCTGCGTTCCTGGAGGCGCTCTCTGTGGTTGTGTCCAGGCACTGATTTGTAGCTGAGTCACTTGGCTCAGAGAGATCCTGCCATTGAAGAAACCACATGTTGCCCCGGTCAGTCTCCTGTTGGGAGCAGCCGTCCAGGGAGCCCAGTGTTGTTCCTGGCCATCGATCCCAGAAAAGGCCCCAGGGAGGCTGTGGGCGTCTGAGGACAAGCTGGCTTTTCCCCGGTCTTTCCCCTCAGTCTTCCCCGCTGTCTCTGGGCTGCACGCAGACCCACGTGGTTTTGATAGAATTGTCTTGATTAATAATCCATTAAATTGCTTTTGAATCATTTCTCCTTTTAATGTTCTCATTTTGGATCGCCCTCCGTTTGGGTGCTTGTGTGTTTAAGTTAGAGGTAACTGCTAAAATTCACTTTCTAGTCATTTGGCTATTTCTTACAGGTCTTTGGTGTGTGCGTGGAAATGAAACTCCTGACTTAGAGGTTTTCCTCAAATTTCTGTCTTTGCAGGAACTGAAGGAAAATGGCGAATTGTTGCCTGTCCTGAAAGGAGAAACTTAAGGATCCGCAGGGCTGCAGATTGCTGCCCAAAGCATTTCCTGAGCACGGAACGATTCATGAGTCAGTCCTGGGGAGTGGGGGAGGAGCCTAGGGCCTCCTCACCTGTTCATCACCTGCGTCTGGCCTTCCTGCCCACGCTCGTGCTCCATGTACACGGTCACATTTGCCCCCCCCAACATCTCAAAATTCAATTAAAAAGAATGAATTAAAGAGGTTTTCCCTTTTTTTTCTTGAAGCTGATGCTGTATGCATAACTCCCTGTTATTAAGTGAAGTAAGACCCTCTTGTTCTTCGATGTGGATAGCTCATACCCATTAGAAGGTGCAGCATATGGTCAGTAGGTAGGCCGGGCAATCCACTTTACATTAATCTTCTACTCCAAGCCTGTGGCTGTCCTCACTGGCTGATAGATCTCTTCACAGCCCTGGAAAAACGGTCGAAATGTGTGACTTGGTCCAGGTGGGATGGCAGGGACAACTCCTTCCAGCAGTGGCCAAAGGCACTGCCTGGACTTTAGAAACCAGGAAGAATCCTAAGGTCTGAAAAAATACCAGGCATCAAAATGTATTCAGCTCCTTTGTATTTTTATGTTAAAAGACCCAACTCCAGCTCTGCAAATGGGCTGTTAAAATCTTCTGAGTCATGAGAACTTCCCCAGCTTTCTTTTGATCCTAGATCAGCGGTTGAGGCCATGTGAGCATCCAGAAAGCGGGCGTCATTCCTTGGAAATGGCAGCTGCTTCTGTCACCCTTTCAGGTACGAAGTGCTCTCTCCTCCCCATAGCCCTGAGAGGCAAGCAGGATGACGGGCCTCATCCCCAGAGTTGAGGAGGAGCTGGGACTCGGGCCTCCTCCAGGCAGCCGCCTGTTGTCCCAGCTGCACTGGGTGACTCAGACTTGGCTCTTCAGGGGCTTCTGAGCTTTCGCGAAGCTTTGGGTGACCTGGTTTCTAATTCAGCTCTGCATCGCTCCCACCCTCTGCCTCCTTCAGCCCTAGTCTCCTGCCACTGCACCGAGCTGGAAGGAATTGGGAGCCCACAAGAGCATCTGGACAGACTTGCATAATGCCAGCTGGACCCTCCCTGCTGAAAGGCAAACGTTTTCTCCCTCTACCTGTTTCTGTTCCATTCTCCATAGCAACTGCTCCCAGCTCTGTGGCCCCTTCTCTCCTACCCACTCACTCAGGTGAAGGCCTGCCTCCTCCCTCCTTGAAGAGTGGAGGCTGTTAAATGAGAGCTCCCCCTCATCTCCTCTTCCCCCATTGACTCCTCCCTCCCTCTGGTCTCTGTGTGTACCTTTGATCCCACCTGCTGTTGACTTCTCCAGCAAGTTACCTGCACGTCACCCCTGGCGTCTGACTCCTGTCTGCCGGCTCCTCTCCTGAAGTAGACAACTTGTGATATATCTATTAAACATACACATCAAGAGGTAAAACTATACAGAAGATTAAAAGATATTTCGCCACAAGGTCAGTGAAACGGGGGATAGAAAGCCAAAAACTTACATGGTTGTATTTGGTCACAGAGTCTTTCCACCCTTAAAAAACCCGTCACTTGGTCAGAACATCCCTGCTCACTCTCGCCCTGTAGCTCACTTCTCCTTTGTGTGTCCAGGCTACACTTGACACCTCCACTTCTCTCCTCGGCTTTCTCTAATCTGACTTTCAGTCTTTGAACTAAAACTGCTTCCCAAAGTTACCAGCCATTGGTGTTTTTTTAAAAGGAAAGTTTTTATTGTTATCTTTTTAAACATCTCCACGTTTTCTTCTACTAGAATTTTCCCTGAGAGTCATCCCATATAATACATTTTTTTTTTTTAAAGAAAAAGAAGAGGACAAAAAGTTAGTGTAACTGATCCATCCATCAAAAAAGTCTGAAAATCCTCCCCTGGCACTGCCTGGGATCCTCTGGCGCCTTCTGGAGCCCTCTGGGGCCCTCTGGTGCCCTCTGGGGCCGTGCTTGTTCTTTGTGATTTTGTCACGTTCGCCTGGGATGATGTTGTTTGCTTCTACTGCTTGTGTTGTGGTCATTGTGTCTCTTCTCCTGGCTCTGCTTCACTCTGTATCAGTTCATGGAGAACTTGCCATGTTTCTCCCTGTTCATCACATTATTCATTTCTTATGTTCCATTATATTTATGTTCCATTTTATTTAGCTGTTCCCCAATAGATGGGCATCACAAGAAGTGCTGCTGGGAAGATTTTGGTGTCTGTGGGTATGAGTCTCGTAGTGGAATCTCTGTGTCAGAGGGTCGTTTGCATAATTCCAGACTGCTTCCCAAAAGGGTGGTGCTGATTCACAGTAATGCCTCTCCCCGAGCCCTTGGGAGGTGAGACCTCTGGGTTGTTTTGATTTGCCTTTGTCATGCTTTTGTCATGCATTTGCATGTCTTAGTGTTTTGGAGCTTTGTTTCCTACTTTGTTAGTAGTTTGCAATTCTTTTGAGAATTGTTTGTTACTTTCCTTTGACTCTTTATCTGCTGGGCAGATAAGCGATCTCTCAATTCCCAAATCTAGTGGTCCCTTCTCCATCTTGAACTTTTTGACCAGATTTGCAGCCTTTGATACTGTTTATCACTCCCCTTGGATGCCCTTTCCTCTCTGGGTTCTTGGGACCCTAGTCTCTTCTGCTTCTCCTCTTGGTCTGTCTTCCCATGCCCTTTACTGGTTCTTTCTCCGGGTCATGCCCCATAGCTGTCAGTGTCCCCCATTTCTCTGTCCTGGGCCTTCTTCTCTTTGCACTCGACGCTATCTCCCATAGTGAACTCCTTGGCTCCCACACAGTCAGTCACTGCCATGCTGCAGATTCTGGGGTCTCCATTCAGCAGTAGCCCACTCTGATCTGTAGTCTGTACATCAGCAGAAATGCCTCTTAGGTATCTCACACTAAGATATCCAAAACAATTGGTTAGTTCCCTAGCCCTGTCCTTTTCTTCATGTCCTCAGGACTGTTAAGGGCACCCCTGTTCCTCCAGTCCTCTAGGCTCTCAATGTGTAAGGGTCAGCCTCAATGGCCCACTGGCACTCACCTACACTGCTCTTTTTTCCAGTCACAGAACCTGCTCTCGTTGGGGCTCTCACTTTAGTAGCCTTCTATCTCATCTTCCCATCTCACATTTCTCCCCGATCCAAATGTAGATCTGACCATGTCACCTCTGCCTTCTCTGAGTACCAGTGGCTCTCTCTTACCTCCTGGATCAAATATGGTGGCTGCCTAATTAACCTGATTTTATAGATGAGACCCAAGGGCTCAGAGAGGGTCACCGTGCTAGGAAGCCCCAGCCAACATCTAAAGCCTACATTCAGGGGGTTTGAGCGAAGCCCCGCTGTTAGATGGGTCCTGATTGTTGGAAGGTTTGAGCAGCTGCCTCATTGGCTATGCAAGGATGCTACTTGCTCAAGAATCCTGAGTTACTGTAAATATTCCCGTTCATGCTGAAGTGTAAGAAAGTAAAGTTTCCTTACAATGTTGGTTCTATAAAATAAAATGAAGTTAAGTGTCATCTGTAAAGCTTGCTCTGGGTGGTAACTGGCATTTTCTTAAACTTTTATTTTCTGAACTTGATGAGAAATGTGAACATTTTCATACAAAAAGAACAGGAAAAAGGTATAACCTCCCAGTCTGGTGAGGATAAAATAGTATAATATTTGTAAAGTACTTAGCACAGTGCCTGGCACATAGTAGGTGCTATATAAGTGCCAGTTATTATTATTATATGTCTGTGTATATATATATGTATGTGTATGTGTGTATATGGAGTTATATAGATAAACACAAACACTTAATTTCTAAGTCATTCTACTTTGTCTTCCTCTCAATTTCTGTTTTAAAACAAACAAATAACCTTTTTGGCATTACCGTTATTAACCTGCTGCGCCTTCCTTTCCCCACCCCTCCAACCCCTATTGAAGAAAAGGGAATAGCTTCCTTGTAATAAATAAGTGTAATCAAGCACAGCAAATTCAAGCATTGGCCGTGTCTGAAAATGTGAGTCTGGTTCTGCACCTCTAGCGCATGTCTTCTCTGTCCGGAGGCATGGGCACTGGGCCTCTGGAGTTGTGCTTGGTTGTTCCCCTGGTAATTCTTCAGCCTTTCAAAGTTGTTTCTCTTGGCAGTGTCATTGATTAACTCGTTCTCTTAGTCTGCTTTAGATCATAGAAGTCTTCTCAAGTTTCTCTGAACCCATCCCTTTTATCATTCCTTATAGTACAGTAATATAATATTCTTAGTCAGTAAACATATATTAAGTGTCTGCTATGTGCCAGGCACTGTGCTAAGTGCTAGAGATACAAGAAGAGACAAGGGTCCCTGCCCACAATCTGAAGGAGAAAAAAAGTAGAACATATGTACCAAAAAAATCATGTACAGGATAAGCAGGTAATTAACAGAATTAAGAGGGTTTAGGAAAGGTTTCCTGTAGAATCTGGGATTTTAGTTGGAATTTAAGGGAAGCCAGGGAGGTCGGTAGGTAGAGAGCATTACAGGCACGGGGGACAGCCAGAGAAAACACCTCGAGCTGAGAGATGGAGTTTGTGGAGCAGCCAGGAGCCCGAGTCACTGCACTGAAGAGTATGTTTTGGCGAGTAAGGTAGAAGAAGAATGGAAACGAGAGGGGGCCAAGTAATAAAGGGCTCTGAATGCCAAACGGCATTTTGTATTTGATCCTGGAGGTGATAGGGGAGCACAACATGCTCAGAGCTGTGCTTTAGGAAAATCACTTTGGTGGTTGCAGGGACTGGAGTGGGGAGAGACATGAGAATTGGCAGACCTGTAGCTGCTGCGGTAGGCCAGGTGTGAAGTGATGAGAGCTGATAAGGGCCTGCATGAGGGTACAGAGGAGGGAAGGGGGTGTATTTGGGAGATGTTGCAGAGGTGAAATTGGCAGGTCTTGGCCCATATTGGACCTGGGGGGGGGGTGATGCATAGTGAGGAGTCCCAGGATGACACCTGGGGTATGAGCCTAAAGAACTGAGAGGATGGTGGGACCCTCTACGGTGAAAGGGAAGGTAGGGTGGGGGAATATTTTGTCTCATCATTTGTTCAGCATCACCCAGTTGACTGGTACCCCTTCGCTTCTCTGTTCTTTGGAAGAACAAAGTGCAGCTGTGAGTATTGTGGTATGTATGGGTAATAGGATCGTGGATTTAAAACTGGGAAGGGTAGAGAAGCTATCAAATCCAGCCCCTTCATTTCGTAAATGAGGAAACTGAGGC